TTCTTAATATCTATTGATTGCCTATCCTTCTATATGTTCATTATTTATGCATCTTGGAAAGCATGTCTGCATGAACTGATACCACTATCCACATATAGCCACAGTGATGCTGCCGATATTTCTTTCAAGCGCTCGTAATAGCAATTGGGTGCGCATGTTTCCCATGCAGTGCAATGCCTTGTCTTCTTGCTTCGGCTCTATTGTTCATTTCTTCCAGTATCTGCGGGCGACTTATGTCCGCTTTAATTGCTGCCTTCAAGGCACTTATTGCCTGCTCCACGATATTCAAGAAAGGACTGTATGGTGGCAACTTCTTTAGTTCGGTGTTGGGACCTGGATTCACAGGATTTCTGTGGGCTGGTGCGCCGTCGTAAATGAAAATTACGTGCTCGTYAKGGTCGAGATTTAGCCTGGTCTGTGCAAGAAAATCATTGAATCTTTGGCCATTCATTCCCCCGATAACTGCACAGTGGAACACTAGTCCAGTTGTTTGGGAAATGGCTAGTGCCACGGTCACATTTTTCCCTCGTTGACCACACACTTGTCGGTAAGCTCTGTCTCCAGTCCTAGCTCGTCCTTGACTTCTCGCTGTCCAAATATTGTAGCCACACTCATCTACAAAAACAGGGTGGTTCACTACTGCATGACGCATAAACCAGTGGGCGTAGTCAACTCTCTTCTGAAGTACGTCGGGCCGGTTTCGTTCGGCAGGGAGTGGTTTGGCAAGTTTTACCGATCGACTTATGTAAACATATCTTCTAACAAAAGATGCATAAATAACGGGACATATAGAATGATAGTTGTAAATATCAAGAAAATAATATAGTAAATTTGAAATTTTTTTTCCTGTAATTGATTGTTGTTCTTGCGCAAATGTTTGTCGTTTGTTAAGATTGATTGTTCATAGCGAACGAATAATTGTAGAAAGGCGCTATTGATTGTGCTTATACATGGAAATTTTACTATGGAATGTCATAAATGCTTGCATGATTGTCAATCGATGCATTTGATTGTATTTTGGTACTAATGAACTTCCATTCCGTTTGATTAAAAGTACTTTCTTTATATTTGATTGTTCAAAAGTGCAATTGTTTGTTTGAGGATGGTATTGAATGTCATTTCATATGTAAATAGTCTAATTGAATGTTTCCTAGCACTATTGAAACTCATGGATCATGCTATTGCCTGCCTTTTGGCGTTAATGTTTTTATTCCTGACGTAAATGAATGCATTTTTTGCGCAAATGAACAGCAAAAGGTGTAATTATAAAGAAAATATTTCAAAAATGTTATTAGCATAGAATGAATTATCTAGACATTCATTTACCTTCTCATGTATTGCTAACTTCAAACACGTGAAGACACTTCTTGGATCCTCAGACAGACACATCCCCATTCACTTGTTGTGCCATTGTAGTCGTCTATGCAAAATTTGTACGTYCAGAGCTGTTGTTGATAAAACATGCCATTGTGTGTGAGCGTGGGCGTTGGTAGATTCCGTTGAAAGGCGTATATTATCATGTCTACTGCGTGGACAGAACGGTGTTTAATGTTACTTGAAACTTCACTGTTAAAGGATGACCACGTTTCACAGCTATGCGGTTTTCCTTCGGGACGTTTATGGTGGTTTTGTAGAAGCATTGTTTAACCAGAAGCTACCAGATAGGACGTCCAAAGTCCTTGTTTATCTGGAAAATACTAGAATAATAAGATATTTATTAGAGATAACTACAATTCAAAAATTGTTAGGCCACAACCCTCGTCTCCCATAATCAGTTTAATTTATTTTGTAGTTGAAATTTTACGTGTTATGTGGTCTGATATGAAAACCCCAGTGATTTCCATTGATATTCACCTGTTTATTGAAGATATGTGGATAGGATGTTTCGCTGACCTCAGGTTTTATCAATGTAGCAGTGTAGCAATTTCTCTTTCTCGTTGTAAGTCTCTAGTTTACCTGGTTCATATTCTGTGCAGCTCAAGTGGAAAATACTTACATACTATGCTTCACCTGTTCCTCTTCAGGCTCGTACAGTGTAATAGTTGAGTTTTGCGATCTCTTTTATACTGTGCTATGGGGGCTCATTTTGTAAAGCGTGCTGGACAGGTCAAACGGGATAGTTTTCTTGTGTTTTCTTTTCCCGAGGGGGTTACAAAACAAAAGAAATCAGCCCAGTCAACCTGGTCAAGCCGCTTCATATAATTAAGCTTTTAGCCTCAATTGCGTGTAAATTATGCAGAAATTTCGATAAAACTCGTGAGATTTCAAATTATTTATTATTTTTAGTTTCATCTTCTACTCACAGATCTCTTGCATTTGCACGGACTGTTGCTGAATAAATATGGGCGCGCGGGGATAACATGTTCACTTTTTGAAATTGAGAAATATATAGAGGATATTATACATGGGCGCGCGGAGATACGGATTTTATCTTCGAGGGTTGAAAAGATCTCTCACGAGTGAGCGTCGCGCGAAATGGAGAAATATAGGTATTTCATAGATAATTATATGATAAAGGTATTTCATAAATATTAATATGATTAAAGCATATATTGTATTTTTTTGATGCTAAAACATTGTAAAAGGGATCGCTAGAAGGGTTTATTTACCTATATCGATATACAAATGTCTATATTATAGCCTGTTTTTTTAGATTTGCAGTCAGCMATGTAAGGAGACTCTGTAAAGTGTCCATGCGCAATGCGATGTTGTGTAGTGTAAACGGTGTGTTTGGSAAGATTGTCAGTACATTGGATACTCACCATCAAAGTATAGACGATCAAGTTGCAGGTATAAATGACTTTCTATGTCAACTTGTATTTATGTCATCCACTTACTGATTATCAGAAAACAGCAGAGCACAGCACTCCTACACAGTCTAAGGTCCTGCTTACATAAGATACGGTGTTTATTTTATTTTGATTTTCCTGGAGGATTTAAAACAAAGGTTCAGCTATAAAATCTATGGGCACCTTGTATCATGTAAGCAGTGTAGCGTGTTTAATAAATGCACTCCATTTCAGGGTTTTTTTTTACATCGCTTTCACTATACGTCACAGCAGCCATCAGTGGAACTTCAACAAAGGATTTCTCATTAGTATCTATTGTTCATTCAGCCAACATGGCCGCCGGTCTTTTATGTTTTGAATATCATGGGAATGGTTGAAAACGATCAATTGATAGAACGTGTGTGGGCCCACTACGTCTTTAGATCTACAGATTTTTGATGCAAGAACGAACTTCATGTCAAATGACAGTCCACGACTAAATACATTTTTTTCTTTTGAAGTGACTCTCATTGAAGCTTTGGAGGAGTTAGGGTCGTTCTCTGTCAGGGCGGCAGAATTGAAACAAATGATCAGCTTATTTCGTCCTTTTCAAGATGGAAGTAAAGTGAGTATACTTATAAAATAAAATACTTCGTATACGAAAACCTACTTTTTATTATCCCTTTGTGCTCTATAAAAAAATGTNACGCAAAACTGAATGTAAGACTTATAAAAATCCTCCGAGATCTATCGAGATGCAATTGATCTTTTATGATCATTGCAGGAACATCAAATGACAATATTTTCTTTTTCTTTTTAGGGAATAACTTTACCAATTATCCAGAAATGGATTGGATCAGGTTTCACATTTTTTACTTGGTTGTGTATTGAACAAAAACCGMTAGAAAGGAAAATACCCAAAGTWGATGAGAAAAAGAATTCCCGACGAGAAATTTACAGGTACTTTCAGCTGCCMATACTTCTTTGCWTGATTTAACAACAACGACAAAGTGTTTTCAACAGTTAAAGTTTTCGGTACTTATTGGGTTGATATCTTACAATTTACGACGTCAACCTTTCAACGGAATCAACGTTTCACGCAGTATTTCGCTCAGCAGCTTGTTGCTCAACTCAATTACAAATATTCAAGAGACTTCTGAAGCTTTACGTCATGTATGTGATTTGCAATGCAATGTGGGATCAGTCTCTTGAGAAAACAAAAGAAATCCCCTATGCTTTGTTCCAAACATATCCTACAATGCATTGCGATTCAGAGGTCTTTTGACTGCATTGCCAGGACGGTGGCAAGACGCTTGGGCGAAAAGCTGTCATTACAATTTGTCCCATATTGTCTYCTATGTTATAAGAAGGTCAAATTATAATTTTCATGAGTCTTGTAGTTGTTTTCTAGAGCTTTTGTTTTGTTTCGTAGTTTTTTCACTAGTTCAGGAGTGGGAGTTGAGGCGTTTTTATCCAAAGATCAAAACTTGGTTGTTGCAACTTGCGGAAGAAAGGAATATCATACCGTTCTTGTTCCAGATTGCAGGCTCATGGATGGTCAGTGGGTACGTACTTGAAACAGATAATCCAATGAACACGGTCCTCAATGGTTTAGAATTGATAGTCTATTTATTATCTCAAGAGCAGATTTCGTTTATTAGTGAGCAAAAATAGCGGTACATACATGTTGTATTCAGTGTTCTCCGGATGTATTATATAACCGTTCCATGTGCTGTGTATGTCAAGATCAGCGCCGTTTTACTGCCATACGAAATCTGCTCAAATAAGTAAAACTTGTGAGAAAATTCATTTAAATTTACAAAGACTGCTCTCATATTTACCAATATTTAAACTCATGATTTTTCTATATTTAGTATTATTCTATAATGATATGTGTGTTGATTTGCTACAGCATTGCTTAAGCATCGCTCACATACCTTCCCGAAGGCCTTTTGGTCAAAGTACTCTACTCGTTTGTATCGATGGAGTTACCAAGGCGACATGYTCACTGAAGTTCCATTCTCTTGGATCAGAGGTAATCTTAGTGAAACAATTATCGATCGTATCAAAGATTCTTTATGGTATGCATTCAGGTATTCGATTTTTTCGCAAGCTACAGAAACTTTGAGTGCATAAAGTTTGCATGCAACAATTTTAAGCAAATAATCGATTATTAAAGAGTATCTTTCGGGTAAAATATTGGAGGTGATTTACTACTCGTACTTAGAAGTATCCTGTTAAAGTCTGATCACCAGCAGATATATGAGTAGTATAGCATTGACGATGTAGACCAGCGGTATTGAACTATTTTCGAACTTTCTATAAACTTCAATCGTTATCAACCCAATTTRTCTTTCTAAATCGAGTTTCGTTTTGTACAGGAGTTATCTAAATGCCACATAGGGTGCGGAACACAGCGAATACAGAACCACTCTCATGTAAATACTCCTCCATCGACAAAATCAATGAAGTTTCCATTCGCTCGGGCTTCCAGTCTTGACTCTCCAAACCCTGGCGTTGGTAATTTTTCCGTCATTGCTGCTGGTTCTCAGGATTCTGTTTGGGGRTCACCAGTATCTCTACAGGGCCAGTTGGGTCCTATTTGCGTGTTTAGTGAAGGACTTGTGGAGTCCTATCACACAGCTTGGTACAGGGCAGGTATGAAATCTAAATTTGCTTTAGCTCATATCTACTGAAGGTCCCAATTCAGTACATTTGTTTCAGCCCCTGAATTTCTTGTCCTCTGAGCGGCCGAAACAAATGTCCTCTGAGGATTCCATAAATGTATATTAGTCCCTGTTCCCAATGGCCTAGATGTAYTTCTGTATCGACTTCCACTGTAAGTTCAAGTACCTTACCCATGATTTKTGTATGTCCATTTTAGGACCCTTTAACATGGACGTATCTCAGCCCCTAATTTACATATTTTCGTTTTAGGTCCCAATAATATAGATGTATTTCARCCTCCTGATACGTCAGGCACGCCTCAGGGGAGTTTATTTGATGTCTCTTCAAAACTAGTCCTTTCCTATCATGCAAAGGTAAATAGTTGATATATACATACTGTACTTCGTATACGTAAGGACCTCTTGTTGTATGGTCTTATCTATTACGACAGTGMCAGGAAAGACAATAAGATCAACTCCATACCAACTTCAGCATCTTCATATTTCGGCCACTTTTCCCGCGTCTTTGTTCGATGCCCGATTAAAACGCTTTTGTTGTCATTTGTATACACATTCAATAATTTTATTATTTGAGTTCACAATTATCTAAATGCCTCCATAAATCGGTTTGTTGATTTTTTTTAGGCTGTCCGTGATTTTGTTTGCTCTGATTTGACTCCACCTCAACCAATACATACAGATCTTCCTGGCAGGTTTGTTTTAAAATATGTCGTTCTATAGATGTTGTTCTTATTGCTGCTAATTGCTTTTATGGTCGTGTTATCMCTATTGCTGTTTGTTTACCTTCATCTATCTTTCTTTTTACTTGTTGTGGTTGCAGTTGTTGTTAAGGTTGCGGTATTTATGGATGTTACTGTTCTTGTTGCACTTCCAGTTGTTCTTGGTATTTTTATCCATGTATAGTTATTTCTTGTTGTTTATTGGTAGTATTTTGACTTTGTTGCTTTATTCTTATTCCTTTAGATTGTCAGGTCATCAGTGTGTAACGTGGAATATCAAGGTATTATACAATGAATATAAACGTCGTATTAATGTTTATAATTGACGGTAAAACATGTAAACACAGGCAGCTTAACTATCGCTAGAAAGATTTTTACACATTTTTTTTTTGTTTAGTAGTTTTTATGTACGAAAAATGGAGAAGAAAAGAAAGAGCGCGCGTTTTTTTTATTAGCGCGCGCTCTTTCTAAAATCCGTATTCACTGAGGTACTACGTCATAATGGCGCGACGCGTAACAAACTAGTATTTGGGCGGCCTATCAACAGCATCGTGTTTTGTATTTTTAGGATGCTATTCAAGGAATCGGTGGAATGGAAATATTTCTTCCTCTGCTTGAAGCGATTCGTTACACAGAAGACGAGTAAGTAATTCCCTTTTCTATAGAAATAAACGAAAGTTATAGTGCTTAGAAACAGGTAATTCCGGGAGAAAGACTCTTTGGAAATGAATTCGGAAAAATTAATTTCCGACCTCGCTGGGATTCGAACCAACGACCCTCGGATTTGTACTACCGATGCTCTACCAGCTGAGCTACAAGCTCACTTCCTTTTTGTAGACCATTGTTCTTTCATTATCTATTTAATGACATCCAAACTTTGCATCTTTTCAATACATACATCAGTACTTTCGGAGAACAATGCGTCCGCCATCTTGAAAAGTGAGACCGGAATCACTATTTCTATGTTGTGCCTTAGAACACATTTCGTAGTCAACTAATCTATCATTACATCGTATAATAATAACTTGACATTAGCTGAGAAGTTTTTAAATCCTTTAGGAGTTATAATTTAGTGATTCGAAAAGTGGGACGGTCCCACTTTTCAAGATGGCGGACGCATTGTTCTTCCGAAAGTACTGATGTATGTATAGTCATTTTAGATTTGATTTGAGGTTGCCTTTTTTCAGAAGTGTTAGCACTGTTAATCTGYCGGAGAAAATTGAATCTACCGCTGAAGAGAGGCAAGACAGCGCCTCCTCAGAGGACTGGACCCTCATTAGACAACCAACAGACATCCATGACTTAAGAAACAAGATGACGGACATCTGCAATCACTCGGGGACACAAGTCTCTTTATTCTTGTATTTAATTCTAAACATCWTGAAGGAGTACGAATCGAACGTTTCCTTTCACGACCAGAGTTTAGTGTTTATTGCCCACATGCTTCAGTCGTGCGACGCCAGGCTAATGGACCCRTCTGTCTTGAGAGCCATTCAAGACATGATTGAATGCGTWAATGTACCGTTYCTWCTCGAACAAATCTACGAGCATATTGTGTTTAACTTTGCTATCTGGAGCGCTTGTGATTTCCAGCTACGCATTGGGCATATTCAGTTTATTTCAACCATCGTCAAGGATAAACCATCACAGTTCAAGACGACTTATGGAGTACAATTCCTTCTTGACGTCATTAAGATGTACTATGCYGGMAAGCATGAATCATTGTGTAATGCCKCTGAACGTGCTGGCGCAGTCGAAGTCAGCAGTGGTGAAGTAAAGATGATCAGAGCGTCTTTACTAGGTTAGTAAAGAGGATGTTTGTACCATTATTTTCAAGGTCTGTTTCTCAGAGCTTCTATATCTGACTTATAATATAATTTTTTCTACAGGTCTTTTGAAGTTTTACTTGATAGAGAAACCAAAAATACAGGAAGCAAGGTGCCTGGTAGATTACCTTCAAAATATCCGCGATCCAGAACAGGTTATCGAGATTCTTGACCTTCTGAACTCTGTTTGCACCAGRACMTCGCAAAACAAACTTATCAAGAGGATATCGGGTAAACTAGTTGGGATTTTTCTAKGAGSTCGCATTTCTTGTCTACTGAGCATATTTCTATAMAACTTTGCGTTTTATTCGGTGTAATTATCATATCTTATGTTCCTATTTTTTCAGATCCTTCCAATGTCTGTGTATTCATGTTTCTCCTWCAAAACTTCTCTCACGAACCAATTCGCCTGAAAATAYTGAAGCTGATGGCGGCCATTATATCGTCACCAATGGTACCCATGGTTAACAAAGATCATTGGCGGTTAAARRRCATCGGGTTGACCCCCCTGATTGATGTCCTGAAACCAGAAGCCTCTATATCTATAGTACTTGGTCTACTGGAAMTGGCAGTGGATGAGCTCTCTGAGGGGAAGGGGGTCCAGGTTTATGGACACTATGATGTTGTTCTAGCTGTGGTTCGAATGATTCTGGACAAAGATCTTGAAACAAAGCTACTAGTCAGTCACATGGTATGGCTACACATGTTATAGATGTTGAGGCGTTGTACGAGATGTAAAAACTGAATCATGTCGCTGCTTTTTAACGCTGTTGATTGACTGAAGAATGGCTGACTGACATGATGAGATCATGATCGATTCTAGTGATTGACTGATTTAATTGATGGACATTTATTCCTTTATTCATCGGCTTTCTCTTCAGCGGTAATTGTCCCATATTGAATATTCTTTTTTATTTGTTTGTTTCTTAGATATTGATGTCCTTAAATACTGGAAAAGATAGTACTGGCTTACTGGCCAACCAACCTGCCTGGTTCGACACGCTTTTTTATATGCTGACAGTCAAATCACGTGATGATATCCCTAGTGACCCTGCGTCAATCAACGGAAAACACATGGAAGAACTAGTGCACAATGTACTCAGGATTGTCTTGAAAACAATGTGGAAGGGTGTCCCTGGCCACGACAATGAAGCATGGAAGGTTATTATTTCATTGTTGCAATTTTATTCAGACTTATGTTATAGTTTTGAGTAATGACCTACCACAAGGAAACGGTTCGTAAACGATTTTTTCGCTACCCACATCGAAATGCTGTCTATTTTTGGCTCTCAAGTGTCATGTCCATAATGAACCTGCGCAGTAGGCACACAGTCGGCGATTTTGTTATCGCTTGTTGTATTGTGAATGAAGAGAGCATCCATGACTTTCAACGCGGAGATGAGAAGTGTTTTGGAAATGCTCTTTCAAACTRTGGATGTAGCATGAGAACACCCCAAAACTAGAGCAGATTTCGTATAACACAACACTCTTATGAATCCTAGAACGGTGTCATGAAAACATTAGATTGAAAATGCACCAYAATAGTTTTGTAGCAGAGGTYTCGCAGCTCTAAATATAAGTCATTGTCATTGGCTRGCTAGRACAATAGGCTCTATTGTTTATGCCTCGTTCTTTAGAGTCACRSTGTGTTGAGCCAACCAATTACCAGTAATGTTCTTTGGCGCTGCKACCTGAYCCTTTTGTAGTTCTTAYACATTCGCACGAAATCTGYCCAGTTTTGTATGCGCCTMTAGCGGACYTTTTACACGTTGCTCATTTGTTGCAGAACCGTGGACARGTTATCACTGCTGTCAGCACCATTGCGTCATCAGAGACGTTTGTCTACCCATCACGCGTTATTGAAAGAAGGCTTTTAGAAATGAGYCTTCAGGCAGTAGTACAAGATATTCAGCGGTCTGGTCAGACAGGAGAGAGTGAGACGAGCAACGCACTAATGACAATGAGACTTGTCGAAGATTTTGTGTTTACCTCAGGTTAGTGGTTTCGAGTCATCACAGTCGATCACAGTTGACAGAGGTTGAATATGTGGTGGTGAAACAGCTATGAAAACTTAGATTATGTGTCCCGACCGTGAATGGTAACATTTTCCCAGATCCTTTATTGACATATCGTCTCTTCCGTGCAACGTGAGCTATTATTTCAACCTGACGTCAGAGTTGTTGAAGTTTGAAGGCATTGAGGTTTTGTTATGTTCTTCTAGTAACCGGACAAGAATCGGAAGACTCTTACAAATGGAGTGTTAAGGTTTGTGGTGTTAAACTCCTTTTAATACTGATGTCCAATTAGTATCCAATTCAATGTCCAAGTTTTTCTGTATTAGTCAATCACCAATCACTGTTCTCATAACATTAGCAACCATAACATATTTCATAACATATTGACTATTGTTTCCGTTCAGTTGGTTGACTGCGTAGCTCAACTGCTTGAAGCAGTCAACGTTTGGACCAAAGACGATGTTGAAGAGGATATCGAATGGGGAGAAATGGCRCAGATWGGTGGTCGAATYCTTCTTGGWTTTCTTGCYCATCAAGACACTAATTTCTGTGCAACAGCTTCGTCGAAGCTCAGCAAGCTACTCAAAGCACGAACTATCAATTCTCAGGTTGARGTGTGCTTTGTTTTGGGGAAACTCTACCAAGCTTTYRCTGATTCGAGACAAAAAAGTAAGAACTAATGACTATAAAACATAATATGTCATTATAGAACCCTTTCRCTTCCATCYGGRAAACAAAAACAYTYGTTTTAGCTTTCAAAAGAGCTCAAATCTTTTATCSCCTGAAGATKTCATYACATTAAAAGATTTATAACCATAAACAATGTCATTTTTTTCATTGGCTAGACGACTCGACCAACTACACGTTCATCGTTCCAATCATCCGCCTTATTGTCTTGAAGTATCATGATCAGTTACCGCTGACTATCTATGTACCGTCGTTCACGGCTCCTGATAAGGCGCATCCTAGTTTTGAAGAAGAGTTTGTCAGTCTGATCGAAACAGACGAATTCAAAGCCATGATGCGACAGCAGATCGCTCCGGCCATGCGTCAGTATATCATTCAATGGTTAGTTGGATCAATTGTAATCTTGTAATTGATGGTTTTCAACCATTCCCATGAGAGTGAGCAAAACAAAAAGGTCCACCAGTCACGGTGGTGGTTTTCTTTTGTCAGGTCCACCAGCAATGGCAGACATCTTTTGTTCAACTTTCTCTCCTGGGAATGGTTCCCTGCGCCATTTTGAAAGGTAGCCGTGACTTTGCATCGAAGCAAGATGATCGTTGAGCGTGCAATGATAGAAACCTTCTTTCACACCTACAGACCATTATTCGCAGGTATCTATCATTGCACGCTCAACGGTTGTCTCGCTTCGATGTAAGTCACGGCTACCTTTCGAGATGGCGCAAGTAACCGTGAAGGAGAATATTCTATGTTTATTCGGCTATCCATTTATTATTAACAGTCACATAGGCTGTTCATATTTCACTCATAGGATGATCACATATTTTACTTACATGTAATCCTTGTGTATTATACACTTGATTTCGATAGAATTTTTGCGTTCTTTATGGTTGATGATGTCGGCACGATAAGTCAAAAACATGCATTTGATGAAACATAGTGAGGCGACGAATTAGTCCTGAAAACAAGACCTTCTGTAATGTAAAACCCGCCCTCTACACTTCAATAGCCGACTTTCGATATTTTGGTTCCGTGACCATGCACATGGTTGCTCAACCAAAATATCTAGAGTCGACTATTAAACATTACTGTTGTTCTTAATTCTAGCGACGACAGTTCTGTAGTGTCTGGACGATTTTGGATGAATTGCCTGAATGGTTTGAAGGACAGTCTAGAGAGAAGAGATAGTGCTCTAGAGGAAAGCCAGAGAAAATACGAGGAGCTGATTATCCAAAAAGCATTTCAAGTAACAGAACAGCAACAAGAACGCTGCAAAAAATTGTTGGCACAAAAAAGTCTWCAGCAAATAAAAGTCACCAACCAGTGGTTAATCACCAAACGCAACTTATCGTCCGACAGAGCAGTTTGGGCAAACAGGTTGGAAGGAATTTTTATTGCCTTGCAAAATATTTTTTTACCACAATACTCCAATTTCGAGTTCTGGTTTGCTCTGTGTTAGCCTCAAACCCAAGTAAAATATATTCTTTTGTTTTATTAATAGCCCGAGAAAATGCATGGAATTTGTAAAGAAAAACAATAAAATTGATTTGAAATCTCACACTTTTATTCTGACAATTAGGAATGTTTTGCGCACAAATGATAACACAGAGCATTGGAGAATTCGAAACTGGATTATTGTGTAAATTCTCTCGCGCTGATTGGCCAATAAGAGTGTGTCAATAACATAGGCTGCCCAACTATTGTTTGAGAGAAAGAAAAGAACGAATGCACATGCTTTTATATGTCCTCTTATTGACACACTTGACGTCATAATTTAATTTTATGATCATTTTACACAATTATTGCAGTTCTCTTCTTTCCTGAGCGTTTATCCTTCCACATTCCCCTTTATTCTTTCCATACCTCCTTCCTTTCGACCCTCCTCTTATAACTCAGTTCTTCTGAATCAACAGGAATCCAGAGAAGACATACTGGAAGCTTTCCAGCTCCGAAAACGTCCAGCGCATGAGATTAAAGCTTTGCCAGAATTACAACTTCCACGATCATGCCGACGCCAGTGCGATTCGCGACAACATGGCGAGTAATAATGTTAACAGGAAAAGTTCAGCAGGACCATTCCATGTTGCACAGGAAGCCATGGTACATAGTTTTAATGAAAGCATGGAAGAAGAAGATCTTTTTATGCCTAATAGTTCTGTCAGTCCACCKACAAGGTGAGAATCTTTTCTTGGTCCTTAAAATAGTGAAAAATATCGTGGAATAGTTCTTAGATTTGCAGATACCGCGAAGGCTCGTTTTACATATGAAGGAAGCAGCAGGGAAAGTTTTTATTTTTTATTCTGCTTCGTTCACCGCTTCCTTCTCCGAGTTGGCTGGTGTTCACAAATACGTTATCGCTTTCCTTCTCCGTCTTGTTCTCTGTCTACGCTTACTATACTTATGAACAGCATCCCGRATCCAATTCAATTTCTATTTCTAAGGACAACTAACCATTCTAGTTACMTATAAGGTTCATATTTATGACAATCTTATGTCTATGATTATAATTGTGCGCTAGTATGGACAGAAGCATAAGATTTCATACTTTTCTTCATCCTTTCTATACATACGTTTTTGCTTCTGCGCTAGTAAGAGGTAGTGAAATCCACACTTTACAGCAGCTATTTCAACTGAGCTAGAGTCTTCCATATTTCTTTTGTTCACAGCCCACGCACCAAGTCATTTCTCRTWCAAGAGAAAGTCTTAATGGAAGTCGAYAGTGAGTTCATCACTTTGATGGATCGCTTCCCGGGAAAACTAAAAGTATCCACCACGCATGTCTACTTCACTGCAGATAGGAACAAAGAAACGACGTCCGCTGTACAGGACTTTGCGTGGGCACTAACCGAGTTACGCGAGGTTCATCTTCGAAGGTACAGTCTGAGAAGGACGGCGCTGGAATTTTTCTTGGTTGACCAGACCAACTACTTCATCAATTTTTCTAAAGATGTAAGTACTTTGAACTAAATTATTTTTTCTGTTCATTCATGCAACAGTTTGTGTCTGTTTTAGTGAGTTTCTCGTGTTAAGGAAGATCCTGTTCTAGTAGGTGTTAGGACTAGGGAAGTAGCCTTCTTTTGGAACATTCATAGCCTTCTGTCACTGAAAGGGTGGGAAGGGCGGCATGTCCGTAAATTGGTCTGTCTGTCTGAATTATGCAGGGCATATGAATATGTATTTCTATATGTATTTGATAGAGACTTCCCTCTAAAAAAGGAGGGACATTACTCTTGCATCCACTCCTTCCAGCGGCAGAGACAAGTTCTCATTCAGAGGAGGTGGACGTCTATGGGAGGTGTACGTTCTACAAAGTCCCCGTATCTGATAGGTGCCTGACCTAGAGAGTTGCCCATAAGTTTATCATCGGTTATAGCTAGGTATCTGCCTGACTTAGAGGGGTACCCGTTGTTGAAGTGGTGGACCAACCCAGATAATGAGTGGTGAGGCGCCCACACTGAAGTGGTGCCTATTGATGAACTATTGCCTGTCAAAAAAAAGTTTTTAATCGCGTTATTTACTTTTATAGGACCGAAATTTAATCTATAAGAGTATAATGAGCCAACGGCCCCCTAATCTGTACTACATTGGAGCCCGAACTCCAGTGCAACTCCTCAAAGCATCTGGGCTCACAGAAAGATGGGTCTATCGAGAAATCTCCAACTTTGAATACTTAATGCAACTAAACACCATCGCTGGACGAAGTTACAATGATTTAAGTCAATACCCAATCTTTCCATGGATTATTTCGGATTACAAATCGAAAGACCTCGACTTGAACGATCCAGGGGTCTATCGYGACTTGTCAAWACCAATRGGCGCACTAAACCCTGAAAGRGCTGAAGAAGTRCGCCAAAAGTAAGTACCTTTTTAATTTTTCARGTTTTCKTTCATTTTCTTGCGTTTTAATGGTATTTTTCTATCAATAGATTTAATTCTTATGTGGACCCCACGGGGATGATGCCCAAGTTCCATTATGGTACCCACTATTCCAACTCAGCCGGCGTCCTKTAYTACTTATTACGGGTCGAACCTTTTACCACACTTCACATTAAACTRCAGAATGATCGCTTTGACCACGCTGACAGACAGTTCTTCAACATYCCCATGCACTGGGACTCTATCTACAACAAATCCACTGACGTCAAGGAACTTATTCCCGAGTTTTTCTGTTTCCCAGAGTTCCTGGAAAACTCCAATCGATTTGACTTGGGAAATTTACAAAATGGTCAAAAAGTGGACGATGTTATYTTGCCTCGGTGGGCGAAGAGTCCTAATGATTTCATTTATAAACATCGTCAAGCGTTRGAGTCTGAATWCGTCTCTAAGAACCTCMACCATTGGATTGATCTCATCTTTGGGTACAAACAGCGTGGAAAAGACGCCGAGGAAGCGTTGAACGTTTTCTCTTTTTATACTTATGAAGGTAACTAGTCAATTGTGATGTTCTTCAATCATTTCCACGAGATTCAAAAGATAAAAGATCGGCGGCCATGTTGGATGAATGAACAATATAAGAAATCCTTTGTTAAAGTTCGTCAAAGATGGCCGCTGTGACGTATAGTAAAAACGAAGAATGTATCTACCCACGTGTATGTTCATCCTTATTTTCAATCAGTATTTTGGAGAGGAAAACCAGAAAAAGAATTATCTCGGATCAATGAATATTTTCTCATTAGSTTCACAACTTCATAATAAGATGAATCACATGATTGTGTGTGGTTTCAGGTGCCATTGATCTCGACGCCATTACGRACCCCAGTGAACGAATATCAATGGAAGGAATGATAAACGATTTTGGACAGACACCCACTCAGCTTCTTACGACACCACATCCACACCGCATGACAAAAGAAGAGTGTGCCCTGCAYAAGGCTAAAGTGCTGGAGAACACGGGCTCAACTCGACAGCTGTGCAGTGTGTTTGACTATTTTGACAARCTCAAAGCTTATTTTGTGGAGGTAAAGACATTAAATAGATCTCCATTGTTTGGTTTCGATGTTGTTTTTCCTGTTAAAACACACAAATCCAACGGTGCCGTTCGTTCATCTTTCTATTGAGTTCAGTTGCGCGCTTTTGGTTTATTAAATCAAATTTATTTTATACATTGTTCGAGCCTTCATTAATACTTACCAGCGATCTTCTTTGCCAGGTTTCTGACGTACGAGATCCATTGATCTTTGCCGCTGTACCATGTGTGCAGGCGCGGAATCTCATTCATCATGGTATGCCTGATGTCATGGTAACCATTAGTCGTAAAGGAGTGCTGGGTGCTCAAGACTGGTTACCATATTCTAAGACGAGGTCTCGGCCATTCACGTTCGAGTTGGATCCTGCTCTWACGTCCTCAAGGTAGATGGCTTGTAATTCCATATTGTTTTATATAAGTTTATCTCATCGCCATTTGTCGTGTCTCAATAGAATAACGAGATATTTGCAATACGTAAAGAAATGTTTTAATCTTACTTGTTAGGTTGAGACGGTCGATAGCAGCGCCATTCCAACCTGATCTAACTATTTCACCCAGGCTCTTCGCCATCTCCAATGATGCTCGTATMGTAGTAACCGGTGGGCACTGGGACTGTACTATCCGCATATTTGCACCAAAAGGAAAATTGATCTCGCGGATCAAGGCTCATTCCGGTATTCAGCAATAAAAGCATGTTTCTCTTAAACACACCACGACTTATGCGTTTATTTGACATTTTTTCCAGATGTAGTCACGTGTTTGGCAATCGATAATGGTGGACGTCACTTGATTACAGGATCACGTGATACAACGTGTCGAGTTTGGACGGTCRCCCATTATGGGGGCTGGGCGGTAGACATCGATAAAGTACCTTTGCAGATCTTATATGGTCACGATCGTGAAATCACGTGTGTTGCAATAAATTGGGAGCTGGATATGGTGGTCAGCGGTTCTGCGGTGAGTATATCGTGAGCACTTCACTTCCGCCCTGTTAGACCATGTCGCAAATTTTGTTACGAAGACAGTGTTGAAATATTGTAATGTCAAATTACAATGATAATGATGACGGCGGAATATTAAGATGTTGATAAATAAAATATATAATTTTTTTTTCATAATTCCAGGATGGTATCTGTACAATCTACACSGCTCGCAGAGGTGAATATGTCCGCACGCTAAGACCCATGGGTAATGAGCAAATTTCGTCCCCAGGCCTCTATCGAATCTCTTCCATGGCCCTGACAGAATATGGTAATATTATTGTGTTTTGCTATGGACGTGATTGCCGCGCGCTTTGTCGCTACTCCATCAATGGCCAACTCCTTGCTGACGAGAGATCGCAATTAAAAGATGACGTCACCGATATGAAAGTGTATGGCGAGTATATTGTCACTGGCGGAAGTGCTGGCCGACTTAGCATACGAGATCTTCACAGGTTTGTGCTGCTGGTCTTTTTTGTATATTGTCTCTACTTGATGGTCAAGAGCCTATCCATAAAAATGTAGGGCAATCAACAAAGCGAAATTTGACCATAAATAGCAAATAAAACAAGTCAAAAACATAAAATACAAAACATAAAATACAAAACATAAGGGAGAAAAAGAGATGAATAAAGAGAAACAAGAACATCCCCAAATCCAAAAGTTGTTACAATAGTAAAGCGAAAAGAGCACTATAACATATTTACCCGTTTCTAAGACAAGTTTTCTTTYTGTCTTTTTTMCTTACAGCTTTCAGGAAGTCAAAAGTCTCAAACTTCGTACTTCCATCACTTGCGTRTCTCTAGCCAAAGACAATAGTCACATCTTTGCAACGCTTGTCGACGGCAAACTCATTGTCATTGCAGTGGATCTAACGTAACRCAAAASGCTCTTTACGTGGAATGATGGCTGCTGAATTTSACGCAGCACAATCTCCAGGAACGCCTAGAATGTAACATAAATGGTACTATCTACCAGAGCATAGTGGATTTAATATGACCTAGTAAGCACTACCTTCAATGCGGATCGAATTTAACGTAGCATATGATGCAGGAACGTAGTGGATTTAACGTAATATGACCTAGTAAGCACTACCTTAAATGCGGATCGAATTTAACGTAGCATATGATGCAGGAACGTAGTGGATTTAACGTAATTTGACGTAGGACGTGATATATTCAAAGTGTATCAAATTTGACGTAGCAGATAATAGAGAAACGTAGCACGTGCTACTTTCAAATTTTACGTAACAAGCGATACAGCAACGTAGAGGATTTAACGTAACCGCTTCTGCATTGAAGGAAATATATATATCTTATCGTGGCTGCTTCTCCAAGAACGCAGTAACCTCAAGGTAACACATTCTACTTCAAAATCGTTGAAGTTTTAATGTAACATAAAAAAGCTGCTTCAAGCAATATGCTTGTCTAGAATTTTCTACAAATATTATGGAATTAACGTAACCTGCTCCTCGTCAGGKATTGCTTAAGGGCATTATAAATCATTTTGTTGTATGTTTTCCTTCTAGAATGTATTTTTATTTTGTTTGTTAGAATGTCGAATGAGATTTTTGCTACCAGTTTTTGTTTTTACAGTTTCATCCAAAAATGTCTGCCGGATAATTTTTTTTATTTTTGAAACGTTACGGACTTGTAAATGATCACAGGTAAATATATTCKCAAATAATACTCTTTCTCCTGCGATAAGAGTAAAGAATTCGACTATGAATTAAACTGAATTGTACATAATGGTTAAATATAAATCACAAAAGTGAATAATTTGAAATGGATTGTAATTAAATGATTGCCATAAAACCCGTGAAATCAGTGTGGAAATCAGAGTGTAACTGTACGCAAAATCCTTGGCGCAAAGAAGTTAATTCTTTTTTGAAGTGCATTCTTTTTTGAAGTGCGCAGTGCTATTTGAACAGCAAGCCCTTCCATTGTACCATTCCCCATCCCCCTGGGTACATTACTGTCCAGATTGGGTTTTTAGGTCTGGTCAGGGGGAGGCTGAAGAGGCTACAGTACATATATTGTACTAACTTTAGATTTAGTACAGTAACAACACTATAAAAGTGGGCTATATGAATATCAATAAATATTGTTTCGTATTTAGTAAAGTGTTAAAAGTTTTGAAACAACTTCTAGAGTTTGTATTTCAATTTAGGAGAACGTTCGCCGACGATTTCACGGGTTTTGTGTTTTCACAGGGTCGTGCGCGGGGAGTTCCTTGGGGAAGGGGGCGTTCGAGCTTTGTTTCAAGACTGTAAAAAGGTGTTTGACTGCAAAATTGCACGAATATTGTTTTGGATTCACAGCGAAGAAACTGTTGGACTATCCAAAAATGTTTTACCCTGTTTATTTSGCAAATGAAGTCGCGTATTTCAAAGACTTTGGCCAAGGAAAGGGGGGGTTCCGGTACCCCTTGGACCTCCCCCTGCGCACGCCTCGGTCTCACTCTGTAGTACAGGAAAAAGAGCCATATATGGCCTGATATATAGTCTCAATATGTTACAGTGTATTAAAGGGTGAATGAAAAGGGCGAGGATTAATAAAGCAAATTGTACTACTGCTTTCAATGTACACGAATTGAAAATGTAGATACATTAAAATATATCAATAATAAGGCTAGATTGTGGGGTAAATTCGATGAAATGATTAACTGTGCAATTCGTGGAATTGAAATAAAGGTATTTTCACTTATTTTGTTGTTATTTTTCCTCCTTTGCCTTGAATGAAAAACTGATTATTTTATGATATGAAAATATTGAAATTACTGATTCATTAGTGATCATTATCGTTTCATTTTTTAATGTTTTCCACGCTGTTTTATACAAATGCACAAAAAGTCAATCGCCGTTTAAAATTGACAATCATAATGCTGTTTGTTACATGAATAATAAAAAAAAAATGTTTGAAAAATTTGTTTCACCATTTTTGCCAGAAAAAAGTCATTCATGACCATTTTGTCTAAAACTCATCCGAGTCCGAGTCCCGCCATTCCTCGTTTTCAACATCTTCAGCATCTTGTTGTGGCATTTCCATGAAAGCAAACTCCATTGGAGTCGCCATGGTAACAGGTGCCATCRTAAACTCTTCCTTGGTTTCTTGTTTGGGTTTCCTGTGGAAAGTCGAGTCGAATTTGTAGCAGTCAAGAGAATACATTGTATTCCCTTACTAAATTGAAAAGCGTTATCTTTATAAATCTTGAATGAGCTAAGGTAAAATCCTCATCACAGATAATGTGTCAATATATTTAATATTTAAATAATGTTTTTAATGTAATATATAATTTACCTGCCTAGACTAGCTATATGCTATTTGCAGGTATATATGTAATTGTAATATGTAATTGAATTTGAATAAACTGAAACTGAAACTGTAATGTCTCGAATATTCGAATATCTCTTCGTACGACTGGAAGCAAAATGGTTCACTATTTCATAAGTAGTTTTCAAATTTGTGTCCCAATAGACAAATTCTAATTTCTTGGAAAAAAATGTCTGTAGACTTGAATTGCAGCTCTTACGAAAATTTTGTTTTCATTATGATTGGCTGACCAGAACAGTAATTTGTATTGTCTATATGCTTTGTTTTTTAGGTTTGTTTTGGGTTGAGCCAACCATATTAACAGTTCTGGGAAGCTGTGACCCAAAGATATAAGCCAGCTTGGAACCYTGCGTCTGCGATATTTTTGAAAGCAACTGCGCATGCCATTTGCATGTATAGTTTAATCTTACCTCATTCGCATGCATAGTATAGTAACGATGATTACAACGACAAAAACGAACACCAGACCACCAAACCCCGCGACTAACATCATGRCACTCTTGGTGCCGTCATCTAGATAATAGACACATGTCAATCATTTCGAGTTGTTCATGATTGTCCTGAGATTTTCAAAGCCCTCTGAGAAGCTGATATTCTATTTATATTTTATACTCCCAATCTCAAAGCAAAAAAGACTTTTCGGACAGTTATGATAAAATGAGTTACCTATTTGTACGCAGGCCTCTCCCGACATCACATAGCCATCGTCACATTGACATGTATATCCTTGATCAATGATGTCCAAAACTGCAGTGTTAACACAAGTGCTGTGGGGGATGTGTTTACATGGATTAACCTCTTTTTCGCACTCATTGACATCTGTGACGAAAAACCAATAAGAAGTAAGCATGAGAAAAGCACGTGACAAGTCAATGACGTCATAAAGTGATGGACATGTCAATGACGTCAYAATTAATATGTAACGCTCAACAAGGTAGATGTAGTCCGGACTGGTTGTCATAATGGAATCGATGCGAACTCCAGAGTTGCCTATGCTGTGTAGCTCCCTAATCCTCTTAGAGCAGCTACGCATAAAGCAATGTCACCAAAAAATCACCAGCTTAAGTCACTGGGTGATGGATTTGCGACCAGGCCTGCATATGAATTCGTCAAGGTTKTAAGCCAGTGAGCCCGTGCATTTTTGTTAAGCGGTCATATTTGAAAGTKTAARTAAAGARAAGGGAAAACCCGCAGCTCGCCTTTCATTCAGACAAACAGTACAAGTCGTGCTGAATTTATTTACATAACTAAACAAAATGATTATAGAAATAAACCTTTAAGTATCGGAATGCTCATATGAAACATTTTCCACCTTAAATACACACGTGTTTTTCAGAGGGGAACTTTTTTCACGATGGAATTTTGTTTTGAGTCGTTTCGACATAAACAGTCGCTATCAAGACGTTACACTAAAAACCCCAGTCATCGTTCTAGCTCTCGTTGTATAGTAAGTTCAAAGCTAGTAAATGTGTAACTGACCTGTCGAGCACGCTTGCGGCTTATTGCCGAAAATGCGACAAAAGATGAACTACGACAGTTGATTTGTACCAAAAATATTAAACGCTATGGAGATAAGCTGCTCTAGCTCTTCCAGGTAATGTTGTAGATACCTCAAAGCTTAGAGGAAACAAGAGCTAAGAAGAAGGATTTGCAATGTCTCCTCCAAAGATACTTTGGACTTGAACGTCGCTTCAACGACCTTCTGAAGTCTTCTTGAAGTCGGCCATTGCTTCGCATGCAATGGAGAACCCGCGAAGAAAACAGAACAATTATTTTTATCAGGGAGGGGAGTGTCGTGGTCTTAAAGAAAAAATTATTTGCTATTTCATTTTTAAGATAAAATTCTATTTCTATAACGATAAATATTTGATTGACATTTAAAAGCTATTTTATAAAGATTTTCACTTTCTCTTTGCGTTTTAGCTTCGATTTTTCGGATAGAATAAAATGAAAGGCAGCCTACTCCACTGGGTCGAGTTTTGCTGAGCAAATTCCTCCCGTCGGAGGGTTATGTTTACAACATAAGCTTGTCAGCTTTGCGCTGATTGGCTAGTCGCATTTTCTCAAATCACCCAG